ATACTGCCAAACAGCATCAGAAGAGTGAGAAAGACTTGAATCCGGTGGATTTGGAGTAGATTGGGACGTTTCTGATGTCATAACAATAGATTAAAACTGATGGTTTTGATGGTTTTGATGGTTTTGATGATTATTTTAGTCGAGTTCCAGAGAAATGTGATAGCCAAGAAGATTGCGCTTTAACTATATTAAGCTTAGCTTTATCCTAATTAAGCTTAGTATAACCATGGATATCCATGGATATGAGGATCCAAAACCATAACCATATCCATGGATATAAAACCATGGTTATGGTTATATAACCATAATAACCATATAACCATGCGAGCTCTGGTACCGTCTCCAAGCAACTCCATCCACCACAACCCCACCACACCAGAGTACTTCTTGATCAGTACTTTTTCGTAGCTTTGCAAGCTTGGTAAGTTACTTTCACTTTGTTATCCTCTCTGCGGTCCAACGTATTCTTCTGGCTAACGTTAGCATATCTCGTTTCTCAGATACAAGCCACTTCTCGATCAGACTTTCGTCAATACAGAGTCAACGAAAAGCGACAAAATGGGGGACGAACCAGTCAAGTGTTTCGAGGCGCAGCTTGTGGTGGAGAAGCAACGGGCTCTCCAGATGATGCTAGTAAGTCAACGAGTTCCTCGCTTCGGGACTTTACAATTCTAATGCGTCTTTCCCTTCCCAGGACGGCGCGCGAGCATGGAATCGTGCCGTTCCAATCGAGCCTCCAGATCTCGCTCTGTTTTCCCAGTCTCCCAGCCGACCCCGGGCACAAGCACGTCGACCACACTTACCCAGCCGACGGCGGATGGGCAACCGATTGAGACCTTCCAAGTAGTGTCCATTCCAGCACGCCCCGCCACAGCTCAGGACCCAGCTTCGCCGAACGAAAAATCTCTCCGACTGTTCTCAAAAGCAGCTACGAACACAATGGGAGCGGCACGTGCTGTTAACGCTGCTTCTCGCCAAAGTGTTGTTCGTTCACCTCCGGGGTCTGGATTGAATTCTTGTGCTTCTCGCCGCATCTCTGGGCGGAAGAATGTGGGGCGGGGCGAGGCCTCCACTTCTGTACTTAACAGCCTCCCCACGAACTTCAGAATTGGACAGAGCCGCAAACCTACGGTCTCCGCACCCCGCATCACAATAAAAATTGGCTGGAGCGTGCTTACGGCATACCCAACGGTGATCAAGAAAGGGGAAGACTGGGTCGAAGTTGATTGTCCATGCTGCCACTCCAATGTGTCGGTTAGGGGGAACCGTTCAGCCACCTGGTTGAAAGGTCCGGGTTATATCGTGGTGCACGCGAAAAAAGGACCCTGCATGAAGGAATCGGGCCTCAGTGCAGAGGATATCACCCCGGAGTGGGTTGCGCAGAACGGTCAAGTCCGCGTCTTGGCCCCCGAGGACATCCATGAGTTCTTGCGGGGTGGCCAGGACAGACTGGGCATGGTGCAGCGCTCCCCGAAGCAGTTTTTTTTGTCCGGGCAGACTGGCCAACTCAGCCGACCTCACACGGCTCCAGCCCAGTCAAACAAGCGATCGCGTGAAGACACGAATCCGCCCGTGGAGCCTTCAAGCAGCAAGAGCAAGCGCCAGAAGCGTGCTGGGGGGAAAATGGGAGAGAAGAAACTCGGAAATCGGGTGACTGCAAAGCTCGGCAAGATGGC